TTTTTTTTTTTTTTTTGGTGACAGAGTCTTGCTGTGTGTTGCCCTGGCTAGAGTACAGTGGCATCATTATAGCTCATTGTGGCCTCGATCTCCTAGGATCAAACAATCCTCTTGCCTCAGCCTCTGGAGTAGCTGGGACAACAGCTCTGCACTATCACCCCATCTAATTTTTTAAATTTTCTGTAGAGATGGAATCTCAGAGTCTTACAGTGTTGCCCAGACTGGTCTCAAACTCCTGGCCTCAAGGAATTTCCCTCACCCCACCCCCAATCAACCTCCCAGAGTGCTAGGATTCCAAGTGTGAGCCACCATGCCTAGCTGCTGAGTCTACTTTTTAATAAATACACATTAGGGTTCTCCTGGATCAGAATCTCTTCTACCATTATTTACAATTCTGTCCTGAATCCATCTTTTCTAGCTCAAAAGGCATTCCTTCATTGGAATCTTCTGGGACTTTTATAAGCTAATATCTTCCCTTTAGAAGTATTAGTTGCTAGCTACTCAGAATATTTGGTATTTCCTAAGAGAAAGGGACAAAAAGTGGTTTGAGGTGGTAGTTAGGTAAAAAGAGCACTGGTCAGGGAGGTGGGAAAGTGACTCATGTTACCAACACCACAATTGCCATGGGAATGTTTTATATTAATATTTATATGTTCTGTGTTCTTTGCTCCTTAACTGTGTCTACAAGTGTGAGTCAGTCTGCTTTCCTTTGACTTTGAGTTTGTGTGTGTCCTTCTATGAACAGACAGACACAGGCCAGAAGCCTGACCATCTCTCCATTTTTTTTCTCGGTCCTTCCCAAATCCTGCTGCAGCCACAGAAAGACAGGCCTTCCCTCCCTGGCCTGAGCGGCTTAACAACAACGTGGAGGAGCTCCTTCAATCCTCCTTGTCCCTGGGAGGCCAGGAGCAAACCTCGGACCACAAGCAGGAGCAAGGAGTAGATCACAAGCAGGAGCAGACACAAGAACACAAGCAGGAGGAGGCACAAGAACAAGAAGAGCAAGAGGAGGAACAAGAGGAGGAGATGAAGCAGGAAGAAGGACAGGGGACAGAGGAGGCCCTGGAGGGGATGTCTGGGCTGCAGGCAGATGCAGAGACCCAGTTCCACTCTGACTCTTTATCCTCTAACCCTTCCTCTTTCACTCCCCGAGTACGGGAAGTGGAGTCCACTCCTATGATGATGGAGAACATCCAGGAGCTCATTCGGTCAGCCCAGGAAATGGATGAAATGAATGAAATGTATGATGAGGACTCCTACTGGAGAAACCAAAATCCTGGCAGGTATAGGAAGTTCTGACTCCCTCATTGGCCCTGCCCTCTCTGCTGCTGCCTTTGGGAATGAGAATCCCACTCTCCAAGCCCCAGCCTCTAGCCCTGCACAGACCTGCTGGGGCTTCTGGCACAGCCAGCAACTGCCTACCTTGGCCACTCTGTGCCCATCATTGCTGCCCCACAGGCTCATTCCCTACCAGGGCTTGGGTTCTGGTCTTGTCTCTTGCCCATATTAGCATTGCAATCATGACAAGGTTATTTCTCCTTTTGGACCCTAGTTCCTCATTTGTAAAAGGAGGCAATTGATCCAAAGGCCTCTAAAGCCCCATGCTGAGCAGGCTGTCTGTGTGTGACCAAGACCAGATGCTAAGGGGAGGGGAAGAGAGAGGATCCAGCTTTCCACCCACCCAGCTGGCCCATCCCCCCATCAGTGCTGTCTTCTTGCAGCCTCCTGCAGCTGCCTCACATGGAAGCTATGTTGGTGCTCTGCTATTCAATTGTGGAGAACACCTGCGTCATTACCCCCACTGCCAAGGCCTGGAAGTACATAGAGGAGGAGATCCTTGGTTTCGGGAAGTCGGTATGCCTGCCATACTATTTAATGGATATATTCCACTGGGCAGCTTCTGGGCCTGGCACTGTGCTGGAGTGGGCGTGAGCAGGGAAATCATGAGGCATAGTTATAAAGAATCTCTCCATGGGACTTTCTTCTTTGGGAGGTATCTTCAGCCTACTTTGAAGGAGGAAGGCTCAAGACTTAGTGTGCAATCCAGTCCAGTCTGGAGTTCATATTTCTTCTCTTTGAGTCACCTTTGGATCCAGTTCACTGTCTTCATTGCCTAGCTTTTGCCTGACATGCAGCTCTCCTTTTTTCCATAGGCTTCATAGGCTTCCATTCCAAGGAATCTGTAAAGAGATTTTCTTTCTCATTGTATCCTCAACACCCATCAAGTTTATTCTCAGAGAAATATACTTTAGCTTTTCAAATAATACAATTTAGCAAACATTTTCTGAGAGCTCATATCCCCACTTGTTCAACAAATACTGATTTTGGAGGGCACCAACTCTTTACTAGGTATTTGAGATGTTAGCAGTGCATGTAGTAGGTCCAATCCTCTATCCTCTTGGAATGTATTAGAGGAGAGAGAAGAAAAAAGGAGGGACATTATGCTGGGATCAGTACTGTAACAGGGTAAACACAGTGCAAAGAGGGCACATGGGGGTGGGGGACAGCTTTCCATGTTCAGGTGGATTAGAGAATGCTATATAGAGGAACTAATGTTTAAACTGAGACCTGAAGAACAGAGAAGCTAGCTAGGCAAAAGAAGGAACCAGATGGAAGGCTTTTGGTAGAGGGAATAGTACGTGCAAAGGCTCCGAGGCAGAGGGAAGTGGAAATTTCATGAGGGACTAATAATGAGCATACTGTTTCTGCCTGTTAGGGGGCTGAGTCCCCATGAGAGGGTTAATCCCAATACAGTAGTGTTATGGAAGGAGTATGGTAGGTGCTGGAGAGAGGTTTGCATAAAGGTGTAAGAAGTTCAGGGGTCATGGAGAGGGCTCATTGGATTTTATGGCTTGGATAAGGGGACAATAAGGAGTCCATTTTACCTGGAGCAGAGCAGCAGGAATCAGGGTCAAAGAGATAAGGTCATAATGTGAAAATTTTGGATGGCAGTCTCAAGCATTTGTATTTAAGTTAGTGGCACAGAGAAGTCAATAATATTTTTTGGTCAGGGATATGATTGATAAGGCCTCCCTTATATGCTGATGGGAGGACCAAGTAGGCACTTTGGAAGAGGCAGGAGGATCACTTGAGACTGGAGGTTCAAGAGCAGCCTGGGCAACGTTGCAACACCCCATCTCTACAAAATAGCCAGGCATGGTGGTATATGCCTGTAGTCCCAGTTACTCAAGAGACTGAGGCAGGAGAATCACCTAAACCCAGAAGTTCAAGGTTGCAGTGAGTTGTGATCACGCCACTGCACTCCAACCTGGACAACAGAGTAAGACCCCAACTATAAAAAAAAAAAAAGAAAGAGATTTCATGTACTATGACAGGAGGGGGCATTGACTGAAGATGCTGCTTTGCATGCTTCTCTAGCTCATGCTAAGGGAGCTCAGTCAGAGCAGAGTCCCGTGGGGGAATGGAGACTCTGTTCTGAAAAATATCTTCCAAGAGTTTGGAGGTTTCTAAACTAGGTGCATGGGTAGAGCATTGATTTTAGAGTCAGAAGGACTTGGATTTATGTCCCAACTTCACCATCCATTAGCAGGTGGCTTTGAGTAACTTAATGTCACTGGCCTTGGTTTCCT